TGTTACCTGTAGCCTAGTGAATTAATATAAATAAACCGACTGGTTGGGTATTTAGTTAAATAGCACAACAAATGCAAAGAAAACATAATTGTTGTTTTGCTAAGGTCTATATGGAAAGTGGCTTTGACTTATGCTTTCTGTCTCAATATTAATGATGTTTGCTTAAATTTGATATTGCTGTATCAATAATAAAGACATGTTACTGAAAGAATGTGAACACAATTAAAATGGACCAACCTAAGATTCATATTATTACTGAATATGAGGTAAGCTGGTAATTAAATTTGGAAACTTTCATTTTTTATTCTACAGCATAAGATTGAACTAGAGATGAAGGCCATTATACATGTACCTGTAGTCTTGTATTGCCATATAATTTGGGTGTACCTTTTATGTAAGCTTCAAAATTTTACAAAACCCCATTTACACTAAATTAAGTACTGTTTAGAGTAATAATTGGCAGCCATATGAAGGTGAAATTAAGTCACACAAATAAAAAAAAAAGAAAAAAGAAAATAAACATGAAACCATTTCAAGATTCTTCATTTGTCTATGGTCAACATTCAATTTTTTTATTAAAAACATCCAAATCAAAATACTGGTAGCATTTTTGACAGCTTGAATGCAGGTATCTACTACAGATTTATTAATTACGCAAAACTCTGAGCCGATTTTGTCAGGTCACACTCTTAACAGTTTAACAAAAAGTTTTAGTATCAACATCAAAAAAAAGTCATTTGTTTGAAAGATTGGTCTCCAAGGAGATCTATGTAGGGATCCAAGGGTTGGGATTGCAACCATACACCCACACACGTATTAACTTAATCATTGTTTTCGGATTATTTGAGCTTTTGAGGTCATTACTTATTATATTCATTCAGACATTTCTAGGTATGGATACATAATTATGCAATTTTTCACCATTATTTAATTGAGCCTCCATGCTTGTTTTTTTTTTTTAATAATTTGATTAATTAATATGCTGAACATGTCAAACTTAATGAAGAGCATATACTAATCACCACAAATTTTGCTTTAACTTGATGGAAGAAAAAAGCTGACACCTTTGCTTTAAATTGGCAATTTTTCTTAAATCTAAGACATTTAACTGTAGTGCTAAATTATACCCTTTTTTGATCTATTAACGAATCCATATTTATATCTGTTAACATTTACTTACATTGCATAACATAACTCAAGGGATTTAAATGATACATAATGTACAAATCTGAAAGTCTTATTTTACAAAAAGTAACTACATAGAGATCTTGATGAAAACAATGAATATACTACTTTCAGAACCCACCTCTCTCTCTCCACACCTGCAGTTAATTTCTTCTCACCTTCCGCAGTGAAATGAGCTGCAAGTTACTTAAAAGTGTCTCATCAATGAACAGATTGAGCTGACAGCTGGTTCTGAAGGCTCTTTCCTTCCCTTTGATGAACACACCTGATTAATAAAGATACAATGCTGGTAAAAAGGACGTACGGATGTATAGTTTGATAAATCTGAGTGATCAATATGAAGAATATTAATTTGCTGTGTAGTGGGAATTAATTCTTGCTAAGTAATAGCAGCAACCCAAGAAGGCCAACATCTGTTCAACAATAATGTTTATTAATTTATACGTTGGATCTTAAGCACCCACTCTCAGTCTCTTAAAATCAGAGATGATTAGTATACATGTATGCAGTTAATAAGTCTCCCAATTTTGTGGTATTTGATTTAACAAATCTGTACACTTCATTTGCAAAAGCATCGAGATCAGAGGTACAAAATGACAAAAAAAGTAGAAAAAACATTCTGGTTCCCCAGATGATATTATTTTTAATCTGACAAATACAAATATAGGCATATCAACTTTGGTGGTACAACATAACTGTAACATAACACTGGTTTAATCAACCTAAAAGTGACAAACTGCAAGTATTCTAAATCAAAAGACAAAGATAGTACAGCAAACAATCAATACAAAGACCATTTATTTCCTGCAGGTGGCAACTTGTATATGCAGGTACCTGCATTTGAATAAAATACAGAATATTAATATTCTCAACACACACACACACACACACACACACACACACACACACACACATTTTATGAAATGGGGGGGGGTTGAAGAGGGGTGCAGGAGGACCTCCAAAGCTAAGGAAGGGGAACATGGTCCAGGCCCGTATAGCTAGGGGGGGTTCGGGAGGTTCAAAAGAACTGCCCCTTTTGCTGGGAAAAGGTCCACTCTGGGTAAAATTTGATCTAGTTACATGAAGTTTTTATGGGAAAAGGTCCACTTTTTCAGAAAAAGAACCCCCCTTTTGAAATTGCTGGCTACGGGCCTGTGGTCCATTGTGCAATATGCTACTCCTTTTCCAGAATTATCACTGGCTACAGACAACAACCAACCTAAGTTTTTCTGTGACTCTGGACTCCACATAGATTATGAATTTACAACTACATGCCATCAAACAAAGCTCTTGTAAATACGTAGATAGACTGCATGACAGACATGTAGCAATCAATTCAAAGACCCTTTATTTCCTGCAGGTGGCAGCTTGTATATGCATGTACATGTACCTGCATTTGAATAAAAACCTAGCTAGAAGACTAATATTTTCAATATTAATTCTTCATACAGAAATCACCCTGCATTGCCAGATGCATTTTCTATTGTTCTTATAATTACAGTCCTTATCTTATTTATTTTACATTTTTAATAAGGGAACCAAGAACTAAAGAAGGTGAAGGAGTGAGGGTGTCTAAATAAACCACCTTCTACCCCTCCCCTCCCTCCTCTTTTCCCAACAATATAAAAATTATTGTATTAAAGCTGTATGTCACTATTGATTTATACCATTCATACGGTAATTGCAATGACAAAAACCTAATCTGATCATACAAAAGTGACAACTCTCATCCTTACAAACAATAAAACAGCCAAACTTGAATTAATTAACCGTTGCATAATATCCAAACTGCATAACAGAGAGAATATCTTTCGATATGTTTTTTAAACCAAAATATTAATTAATTCAATCTAATCTGAAAAATACATTTAAAGGCATGCTATCAGACAAACTACTACTAGTTAATCTGTAATTACAAATATTTAAATTTCAAAATTGATATTTCAGGAGCCAATGAAACACATTCACAGGGCAACGGAAACATGCAACTGCTTTAGTTTCCAACCTTAACTGCTGGATCATTGCTTTCTCTGCCGTCTCTAAAAACAGGCAAACTCATTACATTTCACACAGGTTAGGAATGTGAAGCTGAGCAAGGAACCAGACATGAGCCTAGATTTCAAAAAAAAAAAAAAAAAAAATCTCTGAACAGATTTAATTGCAAATCTTGACGAATTTCAGGAACCATCAGAATTGAATTTAAAAAAAAAACTAGAAAAAGCTCATATCTGAGGAACGCCATAGGCCTACAGCATGAAGCTGAGTAAACAGTGATCTAGGAAAGTCATAGAGCAAAAAGAAGGCTGGACATCACTTGATGTTCCTGCATCGTCTGCATCATAACTCTGGTTTCCCACCTAACAAATTCATACTGTTACTCGAATCTACATGCCCCCGCATCATGTAGCCAACATGGATTTCCTGCCACGATAGGCCTAACCCTAGGTTTTGAATGATGATCTATAACTTTTGCCACTTTTTTAGCCTGGAGGGTCCCATTTTTCTCCAGCCGATTTTTGGTTAAAAAGTGTTCACGTTGAAATTACCAGTATGTACGGCTTTAAAATTAAGGATTAAAACTTACATGGCATTTTGCCAAGAAGTGGAAGATAATCTTCTGTGGGGGAGTAACCAGCAATTAATAAGGCAGGAGGCATGAAACCAGTAAAGGGACATAGCTGAAAGCAGTTCCCACAAATTTTTGCAAGGGCTCACCTGGTGGGCTCAACCAGACTCACCCAACACATTTAAGAATGCATTCCCAGAGATTTAGATCGATCCATCTGGATCAACCCAACTCCCTGGGGGTTTACACTAAATTGCAGTAAGCCAAGCGCGCATGACCGTTAATTTCCCCCTTACAGATTTTAGTAGGTGGGGCAGACGCTTAAGCTGGCTAAGCTGACAGTAATCTAGTGAGACTCCCAACAGGGATAGATCAATCTAAAATCTGTGGGAATGGGGTCTAAGAGGCATTTCTGGCATCTTCTGCACACGTTGAAGACTTGAAGGCACCAGGTGGGAAAGTACTAAATACTAAAATACCACAAAAGACTGCATTACGATTATTTTAAACATCAAAATAACTTTTTATTTTTTTTTTTTGGATTCTGCATCCCAAATTTCATGCCTTCCATCACCATGAAGCCACCCATGAATGAACAGGGCCAGGGGAGGGAGGGGAATCTACCTGACATTTATAAGAGGGTCCTGATGACTGCTATAACACCTAACAGTCAGTGAGTATTAAGTAATCTGATGTAGGTCTGATGTAGGTCTGATGTAGGTCTGATGTAGGTCCATGTCGAGGTTGGCCACAAGGTAACACTATGAAATTATTTTCAGCTGGTGTTAAATAATCATATATATGAGGTTCCTTGTTCTTTACAGTGATATTTGATGAGAAAATTATTACTTTTAGTCTTATCAATAGTTGAGCAAATGACTCCTCTCGTCCAGTCAAAAATGAATGAAAATGCATAACTGAAGCCTTAAACAATAAAATGTTTATATATGTTTATTGTCATTATTATAATATTGAAATATACTGAAATGTACCCGACTGCAATGCTTAAATGACCTACTTGTAATGACAAAACTGACTCTTTATTTACCTGATGAACAACTATGAGTGGAGGGATCAACGTATCCAAATTAAACTTTTGTCAATGCTCTCATAAATCAAGAAGTTCTACAAAATAATTATTATTAAGAACATGAGATCTTCTCAAACCCTAGAAAAATGACAGCATTTCTTTTGAAAAATGCAACTTTTCTCATTTGCAACAAAACTGATTTACTGCTGTCTACTTACATACCAATCTACATGAAAATCTTCCCTGTGATATATTTTGTATGCCACAGATAAATTCTGTTGTTAGGCAACTGTTTTTCATTACAAAATTTGGCAAAAAATTGGATAAAGTAAATAAACCTTGTAAGAGAGAGAGCATTTGATGTTTTCAGTCAAATTTCTGGTTTGTTATCAAGTTTGTAGCTTCTTACAGATCTCTTCAAGCTTGAGCAGGCCACAGGTTTATAACCACCCTGGAGAAAAGCAAGAAACATACCTGATAAAAAATTCTACAACTTAATAATAGAATTTCAACCGATAATACATTTTGTGTCATTTTCAAATATATCTAAAGGTACATGAATATTGGCAGCAATTTGTTAAACAGTATACCAGAGTGAAAGTGTGTGCAATAAGACAATAATTTACAAAAAAAAGACTTCCTTAGTTGTATTGCCCTGCATTTCTAGACGATTTCATGTGTAGGCAATAAGGGCTATAAGCCCGTCACATTTGTGAGAAATAATTACTTTTCTACACATGTGCATGAAAATTGTACCTTATTAATTTTAAATTAATATAATATTAAATATTTCAATCAAATGACCTCTCCGATCCTGAATGTCTACATTTACAAAACCAAATAAAATATTAAATATATTAAATTTCAAATTAAATACCTGATATGTCTCACAGATTAACTGTTTCAAATCGTCTACAGCTTTCTGCTGGATTGCTTTGGTATGTACCTGTTTAATAAAGTAAATTAGATTTATATTAAACTTCTGATAAAAAAAATCACACCCATCAGCACACTTATCTATCTCCAAGCACCATTATGTCTCATGTACAGGCATGAGATTAGTCCTCACTGAAAAAGTAGGATTTACACGATCGATTCACCGGATTTACACGATTCACAAGAATGACCCTGAAAAAGTCGGAATTCTGAAAACGTCGGAAAAGTCCCATCAATGCATGTAAAAAAATACAGTCAGTTCCCTAGACAATATGAAATTTGTTTACACTGTAATTCTTTATGGGCTGTATTATACATGGAACCTAATGAGTGATGTTTCAGTCATACTCCTACCCCATTGAGAGTAACCCAAGGTACATATGTATGACGAGGTTGTAGAGCATTGGTTTTGACTGCCATCTGGTGTTCCAAATCACTGCCCATCTTGCTAGTGGAACATTTCAAAATAGGTGCAACGTCAATATTCATTTGCGAAGCACACTGAAATGAAGACCTTGTATATTTATTAAAGACACTCAACAAACTAAAATTCAATAAAAAGACATATCCTGGAGCATCTTTTCTTATTTTACTTATGTTTGTACATGTACATGATCCAAAAGATTAACAATTCCTGCATAATATGAAAAATTATCAATTTTTAGGGGAGGGCATGGAGTGCACGAAAAAAAAAAGTTTACTGATAGTTCAAAACTTCTGCACCAGATATACAAGTATTACTAAATCACAAGAAGTTTACATGGTCATGCACTTGCTATCACATTTTCTAAATAACGTAATAAAGATTAAGTTAACAATTTGTTTATAGTATACCGAAATTATAATGAAGATTTCACTAAAAACTGTACCCCCTGTGCTGCAATGCTTGGCTGGATGCCAGAGTAGTTCTCAATACAGTGGATAAATGGCAAGTAAACATCAATATTTTTGAGAATGTTTATGGCACAGGTCTGGAAATAAAAACATATCATGTAAACCATCTCATCATACTTCAAAAAGCAGTCAAATTTCACAGGTTTTGTTCATGTTTCCAAACATTTTTGTGGCATGTAGACAATATGTTTCTAATCTGACTAGAAAGTTTTAGATATCAATTACACATTAATTTGTTAAATATACACTACTTGCAACTAGTATACATTGGTTTACTGTGCTGATCCATGTTGAAACAAGGCACTATGTTTAACTTAATATTTATTTTAAATAATGCATATGATTCTTTGCTGAAACATGCCTTTAAAAATACCAAATTTCAGAAATCAAAAATAACATTCCCTCGGATTGTTACTGGTTGAAAGACTTCATGAATTCCTTTACATATTGCAAGTCACACAAAGATGACACTGTTTCTAACAAAATGATTGACAAAGATTTCAGATGCCAAGCTAACATCTGATTTTAAAATATACCCGTCACAGAGATTACACTGACATAAAAATGGACTGAAACACTGCAGATGTAATAATTAAATCATGTAAGACTTTTATTAAAAAGGGGCATGTAATTAATATGTCCAGGCACGCTTCGGTAAAGGGTTATATATAGTGTTCTTTACCTCAATAACATTGCCAATACACTGTTGCTTTCCACCTTGGCAATAAAATACCCATTGGTCCCCTATTTTTTGTTCCTTAAATTAAATGTAAGATTGTGTTTAATATCAAGTACACAGGTAACTACACTGTATGCTCATGTTCATCTGCAATTTTTTATTTCATTCAATCAAAGCATACTAGAGGGTGACAAGAGCTGTCTTTATCTTAAGCACCCCGCACACAGTGAGCAATTGGCACGCGCCACTTGCGCTGCACCGTTTTCTCACCGTTTGCGGGGTATTTTGGTGAGATTTTTGCCTCTCGCGCGGCTGGTATTTTTGGTCTCTTGAGGCAAATGCTCACCGTGTGCGGGGTGCTTTAATTACTTCTTTTCTGTTTACAAACATATCACTATGTCGGTAGTACTAGCATATATCATACCAATGCATTTCCATATGGGACAAGGGTCAGGTTCATGATGCTGCCCACTTTTTGGAAGGTTTCGTACAGCTGTTCTATGAAGAAATCCTTGCAAGCAGGACACAGAGATTCATAATACAGAGTAAATCTCACTGGTACATTGGCGGTATTCTGTATGTAATCTTTGCACTGTTGATATACCTGTAAAAAAGGAGAAAGTGGTTGGTTTTAAACAATATTAGTAGTCCTATCGTAGAACTTACAATATCAGTCTCTGGAACTTTTGTTTACATTTTTTCCATATTCACTGTAGTGTAGTGCTAGTGCTAGTAAGCATACTCATTTTATGAAAGCACACAAAAAGCTTTTATAAACAGGAATGACACACAATTGACGTTTTTTTTTTTTTTTTTTTTTTTGTTTTTTTTTAATAAACGCTTTGATAATAGTAATACAGCACGGTGTACATGTACATATCAAAAATTGTCAAAAGGAATGCCATAAATTAACGCATGAATTTCGTGCCGGCGGGATACGTGCTTTTTCAGAAGCTATATATATGCACGTATTTCATCACATAATGCNTTTTCTGATATCGGCAAAGTGATCAGATAAAACTGTCTGTCGAGAGCAAGTGGCCGTCACTTGTGTTAATAAGAGTTTTTTGACGGGTAACGCTGCAGGATTATTTTGCACGGCACTTGGTAATCGTCAGATCAACGGAAAAATCCAGTGATTACTTCAGAGCGGTCTCTCTCAAAATGCCAGCTAAGGTAAAGGGGAGACGCTCAGCTGCACAAGATTCAGCGGTAAAAGTGGCTGAGAGAAGGTTTTTGAATAAATATTTTATTTTTACACACATGATACTTAGACCCTATTTGCTTTTTACCTGCTAGTCTTGACTATTTTCGGAGTCTTTTTGTGATTTTCATTTTTGGATACATTTTGAACTCTTTCTTCCCGCTTGATCAGTGATTTTGAAATTGCTTTTCTCCAAACATCGCAAAATGCAAAGCCGCTAACATGCATTTTTATTTTTATTGTTTTAATCATGCTGTCAACCCTTGCTTGGATTTCTCTCGTTTGGCCATTCACATCACAATTTTTCGCGTGTCTCTCAAGCTCCATGATATCATATCTTGGAGAATAAAATTTTATTTTGTCAACATTAGATTTACCTTTTGCAAACGGCGACCAACAATCATTTCCGGTTTCGTAACGTGTCGCAGATACGCTCGCCGATATATATCGCAAAAATTAAGAGCTAGGCTAAAAGTATCCTTTTTAGCGTTTTTTTTTTTTTTATTTATTTATCGATTTTTCTTTCATTTGTCAATTAATTTAGGCGATTCGATTAACTCTTTCACCCACTTATTAGGTATACAGAAATCAGTTATCCGACTGAACAAATAGGGCGGGTTTTCCCCAACCGCCACGCACAGGCCCTACTCTCTTTCAAAATTTTTGTTCTTTCCTCTGGAAATGGACTTTTAACACGAACTTTTCTCTTCCCCATAGTGTACTAGCTAGACTTCTTCGCTGCTAAGCTGATGTAAGACTTATGACCTATTACCGCACACGTAATCGGCTTATAACTCATTAACTGTGCTCCGACCCCCTCATGGCAACGGCCCTTAGTAACAGAGGCGTGGCTTAGTTGTCAGCCTGACTGGGGCGCGTGCCGGTTGAAAAACTCATCAAAAGACACATTTTGCGATGCAAATTCATAAAAATTATTACATTCAACGTTAGATACTTATTTGATTAATATAAACACACAAAAAACTCAAAAACATGATTTTAAGCGTATTTAACCCTATCACCGGCCTTAAAGGGATAATAACTCTTCGTATGATATCTTTATTTCACAATAAAAACATTGTGAACAACTCATAGAAATATAATATATTCTGTTTTAGCACAAAAACAGCAGTTATAGCTATTATTCTGATATCTGAGCTTGTCTTCAGATCACGTGACTTCCACTGATGGCTATACTCTGTTAAAATCTCTTAAGAGATTTTAACAAAAAAACAAACTTTTTAGAAAAAAACCAGGGACTAACTTTAAATGTAAAAATTGATTCATTAACCATTGGTAAGAATGGGAAAATTGTTGTTTACTCCAGCAAAATTCATTTTTTGGGGGGAGGGGGTTGAAGAGGGGGGCAGGAGGACCTCCAAAGCTAAGGAAGGGGGACATGGTCCAGGCCCGTAGCTAGGGGGGGTTCGGGAGGTTCAAAAGAACCGCCCCTTTTGCTGGGAAAAGGTCCACTCTGGGTAAAATTTGATCTAGTTACATGAAGTTTTTATGGGAAAAGGTCCACTTTTTCAGAAAAAAAACCCCTTTTGAAATTGCTGGCTACGGGCCTGTGGTCCATTGTGCAATATGCTACTCCTTTTCCAGAATTATCACTGGCTACAGACAACAACCAACCTAACTTTTTCTGTGACTATGGACTCCACATAGATAATGAATTTACAACTACATGCCATCAAACAAAGCTCTTGTAAATACGTAGATAGACTGAATGACAGACATGTAGCAATCAATTCAAAGACCCTTTATTTCCTGCAGGTGGCAGCTTGTATATGCATGTACATGTACCTGCATTTGAATAAAAACCTAGCTAGAAGACTAATATTTTCAATATTAATTCTTCATACAGAAATCACCCTGCATTGCCAGATGCATTTTCTATTGTTCTTATAATTACAGTCCTTATCTTATTTATTTTACATTTTTAATAAGGGAACCAAGAACTAAAGAAGGTGAAGGAGTGAGGGTGTCTAAATAAACCACCTTCTACCCCTCCCCTCCCTCCTCTTTTCCCAACAATATAAAAATTATTGTATTAAAGCTGTATGTCACTATTGATTTATACCATTCATACGGTAATTGCAATGACAAAAACCTAATCTGATCATACAAAAGTGACAACTCTCATCCTTACAAACAATAAAACAGCCAAACTTGAATTAATTAACCGTTGCATAATATCCAAACTGCATAACAGAGAGAATATCTTTCGATATGTTTTTTAAACCAAAATATTAATTAATTCAATCTAATCTGAAAAATACATTTAAAGGCATGCTATCAGACAAACTACTACTAGTTAATCTGTAATTACAAATATTTAAATTTCAAAATTGATATTTCAGGAGCCAATGAAACACATTCACAGGGCAACGGAAACATGCAACTGCTTTAGTTTCCAACCTTAACTGCTGGATCATTGCTTTCTCTGCCGTCTCTAAAAACAGGCAAACTCATTACATTTCACACAGGTTAGGAATGTGAAGCTGAGCAAGGAACCAGACATGAGCCTAGATTTCAAAAAAAAAAAAAAAAAAAATCTCTGAACAGATTTAATTGCAAATCTTGATGAATTTCAGGAACCATCAGAATTGAATTTAAAAAAAAAACCTAGAAAAAGCTCATATCTGAGGAACGCCATAGGCCTACAGCATGAAGCTGAGTAAACAGTGATCTAGGAAAGTCATAGAGCAAAAAGAAGGCTGGACATCACTTGATGTTCCTGCATCGTCTGCATCATAACTCTGGTTTCCCACCTAACAAATTCATACTGTTACTCGAATCTACATGCCCCCGCAGCATGTAGCCAACATGGATTTCCTGCCACGATAGGCCTAACCCTAGGTTTTGAATGATGATCTATAACTTTTGCCACTTTTTTAGCCTGGAGGGTCCCATTTTTCTCCAGCCGATTTTTGGTTAAAAAGTGTTCACGTTGAAATTACAGTATGTAAAGCTTTAAAATTAAGGATTAAAACTTAAATGGCATTTTGCCAAGAAGTGGAAGATAATCTTCTGTGGGGGAGTAACCAGCAATTAATAATTAAGGCAGGAGGCATGAAACCAGTAAAGGGACATAACTGAAAGCAGTTCCCACAAATTTTTGCAAGGGCTCACTGGTGGGCTCAACCAGACTCACCCAACACATTTAAGAATGCATTCCCAGAGATTTAGATCGATCCATCTGGATCAACCCAACTCCCTGGGGGTTTACACTAAATTGCAGTAAGCCAAGCGCGCATGACCGTTAATTTCCCCCTTACAGATTTTAGTAGGTGGGGCAGACGCTTAAGCTGGCTAAGCTGACAGTAATCTAGTGAGACTCCCAACAGGGATAGATCAATCTAAAATCTGTGGGAATGGGGTCTAAGAGGCATTTCTGGCATCTTCTGCACACCTTGAAGACTTGAAGGCACCAGCTAGGTGGGAAAGTGTTACTAAATACTAAAATACCACAAAAGACTGCATTACGTTTATTTCAAACATCAAAATAACTTTTTTTTTTGGATTCTGCACCCCAAATTACACGCCTTCCATCACCATGCAGCCATCCATGAATGAACAGGGACAGGGGAGGGAGGGGAATCTACCTGACATTTATAAGAGGGTCCTGACTGCTATAACATGTACCTAACAGTCAGTGAGTAATTACTCATGTTAATCTGATGTAGGTCCATGTTGAGGTTGGCCACAAGCTAATAGTATAAAATTATTTTCAGCTGGTGTTAAATAATCATATATGAGGTTCCTTGTTCTTTACAATGATATTTGATGAGAAAATTATTACTTTTAGTCTTATCAATAGTTGAACAAATGACATCCCTTGTCTAGTCAAAAATGAATGGAAATGCATAACTGAAGCCTGAAAACATTAACTTAAACAATAAAATGTTTACAAATGTTTATTGTCATTATTATAATATTGAAATACTGAAATGTCCCCAGACTGCAATGCTTAAATGACCCATGTGTCATGACAAAAATGACTCTTTTATTTACCTGATGAACAACTATGAGTGGAGGGATCAACGTTTCCAAATTAAACTTTTGTCAAAGCTCTCATAAATCAAGAAGTTCTACAAAATAATTATTATTAAGAATATGAGATCTTCTCAAATCCTAGAAAAATAATGGCATTTCTTTTGAAAAATGCAACTTTTCTCATTTGCAACAAAACTGATTTACTGCTGTCTACTTACGTACCAATTTACATGAAATTCTTTCTTGTGATATATTTTGTATGCCACAGATAAATTCTGTTGTTAGGCAACTGTTTTTCATTACAAAATTTGACAAAAAATTGGATAAAGTAAATAAACCTTTTAAGAGAGAAAACATTTGATGTTTTCAGTCAAATTTCTGGTTTGTTATTAAGTTTGTAGCTTCTTACAGATCTCTTCAAGCTTGAGCAGGCCACAGGTTTATAACCACCCTGGAGAAAAGCAAGATAAATATCTGATAAAAAATTCTACAACTTAATAAATAATAGAATTTCAACCGATAATACATTTTGTGTCATTTTCAAATATATCTAAAGATACATGAATATTGAAAGTAGTCTTTTAAACAGTATATAAGAGTGAAAGTGTGTGCAATAAGACAATAATTTACAAAAAAAAAAAGACTTCCTCAGTTGTATTGCTGTGCATTTCTAGACAATTTCATGTGGCTATAAGCCCGTCACATTTGTGAGAAACAATTATTTTTCTACACATGTGCATGAAAATTGTACCTTATTAATTTTAAATTAATATAATATTAAATATTTCAATCAAATGACCTCTCTGATCCTGAAAGTCTACATTTACGAAACCAAATAAAATATTAAATATATTAAATATCAAATTAAATACCTGATATGTCTCACAGATTAACTGTTTCAAATCGTCTACAGCTTTCTGCTGGATTGCTTTGGTATGTACCTGTTTAATAAAGTAAATTAGATTTATATTACACTTCTGATAAAAAAATCACACCCATCAGCACACTTATTTATTTCCAAGGACCATTATGTCTCATGTACAGGCATGAGATTAGTCCTCACTGAAAAAGTAGGATTTACACGATCGATTCACCGGATTTACACGATTCACAAGAATGACCCTGAAAAAGTCGGAATTCTGAAAACTTTGGAAAAGTCCCATCAATGCATGTAAAAAAATACAGTAAGTTCCCTAGACAACATCAAAATTGTTTACACTGTAATTCACTATGAGCTGTATTATACACGGAACCTAATGAGTGATGTTTCAGTCTTACGCCTACCCCATTGAGAGTAACCCAAGGTACATATGTATGACGAGGTTGTAGAGCATTGGTTTTGACTGCCATCTGGTGTTCCAAATCACTGCCCATCTTGCTAGTGGAACACTTCAAAATAGGTGCAACGTCAATATTCATTTGGGAAGCACACTGAAATATAGACCTCGTCTATTATTCACAGACACTCAACGAACTAAAATTCAATAAAAAGACATAACCTGGAACATCTTTTCTTATTTTACTTATGTTTGTACATGTACATGATCCAAAGGATTAACAATTCCTGCATAATATGAAAAATTATCAATTTTTAGGGGAGGGCATGGAGTGCACGAAAAAAAAAAGTTTACTGATAGTTCAAAACTTCTGCACCAGATATACAAGTATTACTACATCACAAGAAGTTTACATGGTCATGCACTTGCTATCACATTTTCTAAATAACGTAATAAAGATTAAGTTAACAATTTGCTTATAGTATATGGAAATTACAATGAAGATTTCACTAAAAATTGTACCCCCTGTGCTGCAATGCTTGGCTGGATGCCAGAGTAGTTCTCAATACAGTGGATAAATGGCAAGTAAACATCAATATTTTTGAGAATGTTTATGGCACAGGTCTGGAAATAAAAACATATCATGTAAACCATCTCATCATACTTCAAAAAGCAGTCAAATTTCACAGGTTTTGTTCATGTTTCCAAACATTTTTGTGGCATGTAGACAATGTTTCTAATCTGACTAGAAAGTTTTAGATATCAATTACTATACACATGTTAATTTGTTAAATGTACACTACTTGCAACTAGTATACATTGGTTTACAGTGCTGACCCATGTTGAAACAAGGCACTATGTTTAACTTAATATTTATTTTCAAATAGTGCATATGATCCTTTGCTGAAACGTGCCTTAAAAAATACCAAAATAACATTCCCTCTGATTGTTACTGGTTGAAAGACTTCATGAATTCCTTTACATACTGCAAGTCACACAAAGATGACAGTGTTTCTGACAAAATGATTGACAAAGATTTCAGATGCCAAGCTAACATCTGATTTTAAAATATACCCGTCACAGAGATTACACTGACATAAAAATGGACTGAAACACTGCAGATGTAATAATTAAATCATGTAAGACTTTTATTAAAAAGGGGCATGTAATTAATATGTCCAGGCACGCTTTAGTAAAGGGTCATATATAGTTTTCTATACCTCAATAACATTGCCAATACACTGTTGCTTTCCACCTTGGCAATAAAATACCCATTGGTCCCCTATTTTTTGTTCCTTAAATTAAATGTAAGATTGTGTTTAATATCAAGTACACAGGTAACTACACTGTATGCTCATGTTCATCTGCAATTTTTTATTTCATTAAATCAAAGCATACTAGAGGGTGACAAGAGCTGTTTTTATCTTAAGCACCCCGCACACAGTGAGCAATTGGCGCGCGCCACTTGCGCTGCGCCGTTTTCTCACCATTTGCGGGGTATTTTGGTGAGATTTTTGCCTCACGCGCGGCTGATATTTTTGGTCTCTTGAGGCAAATGCTCACCGTGTGCGGGGTGCTTTAATAACTTCTTTTCTGTTTTAACAGACATGTTTTAACAGACATGTTAAAACAAACATATCACTATGTCGGTAGTACTAGCATATATCATACCCATGCATTTCCATATGGGACAAGGGTCAGGTTCATGATGCTGCCCACTTTTTGGAAGGTTTCGTACAGCTGTTCTATGAAGAAATCCTTGCAAGCAGGACACAGAGATTCATAATACAGAGTAAATCTCACTGGTACATTGGCGGTATTCTGTATGTAATCTTTGCACTGTTGATATACCTGTAAAAAAGGAGAAAGTGGTTGGTTTTAAACAATATTAGTAGTCCTATCGTAGAACTAACAATATCAGTCTCTGGAACTTTTGTTTACATTTTTTCCATATTCACTGTAGTGTAGTGCTAGTGCTAGTAAGCATACTCATTTTATGAAAGCACACAAAAAGCTTTTATAAACTGGAATGACACACAATTGACGTTTTTTTTTTGTTTTTTGTTTTTTTTAAATAAACGCTTTGATTATAGTAATACAGCACGGCGTACATGTACATATCAAAAATTGTCAAAAGGAATGCCCTAAATTAACGCATGAATTTCGTGCCGGCGGGATACGTGCTTTTTCAGAAGCTATATATATGCACGTATTTCATCACATAATTCGGAGTTTACTTTATCCATCTGTAGAAAGAACAGGAAAAGAAGTTATTGAAAAAACACAAAAGTGTACTGTGTTCTTAATTTGTGATACGCGCCTCACACTGCTACGGTACTCGAGCCACAGCAACAGGTCAAGCACATGCTATTTTTTATCGCAAACAAATCAATTAAACACGTTACCTGGCAAGTCCTTGCAACTTCTTCACTACTACACCACTGGCTTGGTGGTATGTTGCACTCACCGACAACTTGAACTACCATAAAAAAGCAAAGCGCAGCAGTTTTCAGCACGTGCATTTTGTTCTCTCTTGAAAGTGTTCGTCAAAACCGCCGAGTCACATGGTTTTCTGTATACCGAACCGGACCACGTGACTTACAAATCAACTGGTCTTGTCTTGAATGTTGCGCCATCTATAAACTGACGTACATTATCTGTGCTTGTTTTGATTTGATATACCTCGCATCTGGTTTAACTATTGAGATTATGACATAGGCTCAAATAGCAGATACGAATGCCCTAAGATGCCCTTTTATGCTAAATGTTGCTGCCCCACGACAAAATGGGAACATACTTCAAACTGCAAGGAATGCCCCGGACGACTGCTTGAGTTATTTCAACATTTTTACCCAAACAGGGAATTGCCAAGCAGAAAAATTTGCTTTGTGTGCATGTCAAGAGTTGACAAGGAGGACGAATTCGTCAGCCATCCTCAATATGTGCCGCCTAAATTTAGGAAGTGTAAGCAGCAGATGGCATACATGAAAAAGATGGTATGTTACTCCTTTGTACTAGTACTAGAAGTAAGAACTCTCTCTCTCTCCCTCTCTCTCTCTCACACACACACACACACACACAGTGACACACACACACACCCAGTTACATTAAATTGACATGCAGCTTGATTATTGATTTAAGCAATTATAGTATAGAGCAAAAATGTTCATTTGCTTAACCGGTAGTTGGATAGCATGTACTA